AGCAATAAAATTGTGTGTTAAATGTCGCCTGACTAGTGGATGGAGGGAGAATTTCCCAACCCCATTCAGTTGTTACTGGGGATGAACTGTTCCAATATCTTGTGCTCAGCTAACTATTAAATAAAAAGTAATTCCAGTTACAATTTTTTTTACATTGTATTTTTTTTGGTAACAGCTGTTCTGAGCTACCAAAATGTTTGTTTTTATGACAGAAATAGATGCAATCACAAATATGTTTTTGTGGCATAAGCAGCCAATAGGTTATGGTCAACACATGACAGAAACAGAACGCAGATAGTCTTGAGTGTTTGCAGAGAATTTGTCTCAACCTTAAATAAACAAACTATATACAGTATTGATCAATTTGGTCTTACTTAAGCTGGGAAGAGTATCTATGACTGTGCAAATTGTACAAAGTTTATTAGAGGGAGCACGCTTGATGAGTTGAATGGCTTTTTCTCCTTTCTAACTCAGGCATATACAATTAAACATAGTAAATGCTGCAAATCAACAGGAAAACGTTCAGGATCTAGAAGACAGTGAAACATTATTTCTGATGTGACCCATCATCCGACTTTGGGTTTATTTCAGATTTGCAGCATTCGCAACATTTTTTATCTGAATAGCCTTTGCTAAAATATCCTTCCACTAAATAATTAACAAGACTGATATGAAACTAGATTCAAATGTTCATGCGATTTTCATTGCATAGTCTCCAATCTCATCCAGTGTTAAAACTATGTTTTGTGAATGAAGACAGTAGTTTAAAAACATGATGTAAATAATTTGTGATACAAAACATGATCTGATTGAGTTTTACTGCATTGCAAATAATAAACTGGGCTCATTTATGCTAGAAATATCTTGAGATTACAGGGCACAAACCCTAGAATTAAACATCTGATTAATCACTTCAATTATCTCAATAAAATGTTGTAGCAATAAGGCCATAGTAAATAAGTAAATGAGTCTAGTAATTTACATATAAAATAACAATATGCACATTACTATGAAAGATTAAGAAATAGACAACAATGTTTCTATATATCCTACAGTTATATCAGTAATCTGTCTTTTTTAAAAGTGTAGAACGGGGTTTTAAAGAGCTCATCATATGGATTGTTTGGGAAAATATTCAACACTAAATAACTTTCAACCAAATTAATCATCTTCATATAGAATACTATTCAAAAACTATTTTCTAACTTTTAAAAACAAACAGCCTACTTAGCAAGAAAGATCAACAGATGTGTAGTGTAAATAAACAACAACAAAATGACATTTATAGAATGCCTTTCACGTCGCGAGGACGTCCCAAAGCGCTGTACAGTCAGATGTCGGGGCCCGAGTACGGGGGAGGGGGTGGTGTAGGGGTGAGGGAAGGCAGAGAGGTGGGAGGGAGACCAAAGGCACGGTCGAAGAGAAGGGTCTTGAGACCAGTCTTGAAGGATGCGAGGGAGGAAGCGAGGCCAAGGGACCGTGGGATGGAGTTCCAGAGTGTGGGGGCAGAGTGGCTGAAAGCTCGGACACCGATGGTAGTTCGGGTTGGGCAGGAGACATGGAGCAGGGCAGAGCCTGACGAACGGAGGGAGAGGGCAGGGTGGTATGGAGTTAGCAGGTCAGAGAGGTAGGAGGGGGCGAGGCCATGGATGTGGACGAGGATCTTAAACTCGATCCTCTGGGGGATGGGGAGCCAGTGGAGTCGGGCGAGGGTGGGAGTGATGGGGTCACGGAGTCTGGTGCGTGAGAGTACACGAGCTGCAGAGTTTTGGATGATCTGCAACGTGTGAAGGGAAGAGTTGGGAAGGCCGATGAGGAGGGAGTCCCCGTAATCGAGCCTTGAGGTGACAAATGCGTGGGTCAGGGCTTCGGCAGCCTGAGGGGTGAGGCAGTGGCGGAGTCTGGCAATGTTGCAGAGGTGGAAGTAGGCAGTGCGCAGATGTGGGGAAGAAAGGACAGTTCAGGGTCAAACAAGACACCCAGGTTCCTGACTGGCTTAGTGAGGTTGAGTGTGCAGCCGTGGAGGCTGATGCTGCCAGTGCCTAAAGTGCGGAGGCGCTGGCGCGAGCCAATCAGAAGGGCCTCGGTCTTGCGGACGTTGAGTTGGAGAAAGTTGGCACTCATCCAGGACTTGATGTCGGACAGGCAGTCGGTCAGGACCTCAGTAGTCCTGGAGTTCAGGGTGGAGGCAGAGAGGGAGAGTTGGGTGTCATCTGCATACATATGGAAATTTACCCCATGTCTGAGCATGTAGAGGGTGAAGAGGAAGGGACCGAGGACAGAGCCCTGAGGAACACCGCACGAGACAGTGCGGGGGCTGGAGGAGAAACCGTTTGCTAAGACGAAGTGGAGGCGGTGTGAAAGGTAGGACCTGAACCAGTCAAGGACAGAACCTTGGAGGTTGAGGTGGGAGGAGAGGCGGTGGAGGAGGATTGAGTGGTCCACGGTGTCAAAGGCAGCGGAGAGGACGAGGAGGCAGAGGGAATCCCTGGTCACACATGGTTAGGACGTTGCTTGTGACCTTGACCAGAGCAGTTTAGGTGGGGTTCATGGAGGGAGTGAGAGGAGAGGAAGGAGCGAAGCTGGGAGGCAACAGCTCTCTCAAAGACCTTGGATAGGAAAGGGAGATTTGAGATGGACCGGTAGCGAGATAGCTGCGATGGGAAGGTTTTTTTCAAGGTGGGGGTGATAGTGGCTGTTTTGAGGAGGGAAGGAACAGTGCCAGATGACAGGGAGAGGTTAATGATGTCGGCGAGTAGTAGGTTAGGGTTAAGGTTAATAAAATAAAATACACAAAGGGAATTGAAGAAAACATCAATAAGCTCAGATCTGTAAATATCTGGCATATTTGTGAGCAAGAACTACCACAAATTTAAATCATTATTGTGTCTACCCAACAAAAAGATTAGAATGAGATCTATCCACTGTCTACAAACAACTATAACGGCTTTCAATCGGCCTTCAACAAATATTTATTACTGGAGAGAGTACCAAGTGGGTACTCGTTGATAAGAAAATTCGAATCATTAACTTGAAAACTGCTATTTCATTTTTTTTCTGGTAATGATTACCTAAGTACAGCGTTATTATTTATCCTCCTGAATCCACATATTTCTCGGTTTATTTTAGACTGACACAGTACGATCAAAATTTTTCAAATTTGCTTAACCAGACTCATCTGTGTCCACCGTCGTGTTCTTTTTCTCCGTGTACTTTTAATAGCAGAACTGATGCTGATCTGTGAGCCATATTTATGTTGAAATCCTCAGACATGATGTCACTAAACATGAGTTAAAAACGCAGCTGAGGTTTTAGAAGGTGAAACACGCAACTTGCTGATCACTGCGCTATTTCTAAGCTTTTGTTCTGACAATTATAGTAATGATATTTATTTCCTGGTTCAATGTTAGATGCCGCGGCCTGTACAGCATTAACTGATTCAGACCACACAGTTCTGTGCGGAACAATTTTCTTGTGAAGTTAATATAAGCTTCAAATTACGTTTGTGAAAATTACAATTAAATTATACCAAAAAAATTCCAATGGAAATATACACATTCATGAATACAGTCCACAAGTAATCATATATTTGATTAAATGACTTGCAATTAATTGAAGTTCGCTGATATAGTCATAGTCATTTGAATCTCTTATAATAAATTAAGCAGTAAATCTCAATTCTAACAGGAAGGAAAAAAATCAAACAATTAACTTACGCTATAATTAAATAAGATAAAATTCTCATTTTCCTAATTGTGCTGCATGTCTTTAATTTTGAAACCATAAGGAGACTCACAAATCAATAAGAAATGAGTGCCTTCAGTAATAAAGTACCTTATCTATGTCGACATTAGATGCTCGAGTCTTTCACACTTGTTAAAAAAAACTTTAATTCCTAGTCTGTGGAGTTCCTTTGTGGAGTCCTGTAGCTCAGTGTTAGAGCACTCGCTTTACAAGTGAGAGACCTGAGTTCAATCCCAGGCAGAGGGCGAAACCTTGGGCAAGTTTCCTTACTCCACACAGAGCCTAATAATAATCCCTCCAAAACCAAAACAATAATAAATTGGCCATTTTCAATCTACGACTGTTTGTGGGACATTGCTGTGTGCAATTGGCTGCCGCGTTCGCCCACAAATATACAGTCAACTCACTTTACAGTGTGTTCTGTGAAGCGCTTTGGGACGTCCTCCCGACGTGAAAAGCGCTATATCAAATGCAAGGATTATTATTATTATTATTATTATTATTATTATTATTATTAGTCTGGCTCCTATTCCAGTTCCTCTACCCAGTTTCATTAGATTACATTTTCGAGATGACTCCTTCATTAAACTTTCTACCGGATGTAATAATTCCTCTTAACTTTTTTTTCTTTTCAACTGCCTCCTGCAATAATTTTAATTGGGAGGGGGGGGTGAGGATGGGATGGGATGGGGGGGGTCAGGGCTGGGGGTGGAGAGGATGGGGGAGGGGGGGTGAGGATGGGAGGGGGGGTCAGGGCTGGGGTGTGGGTCAGGGCTGGGGGTAGGGGGGGGTCAGGGCTGGGGGTAGGGGGGGTCAGGGCTGGGGGTGGAGAGGATGGGGAGGGGGGGGTCAGGGCTGGGAGTGGGGGGGGGCAGGGCTGGGGGTCAGGGGTGGGGGGGGCAGGGCTGGGGGTCAGGGGTGGGGGTTTCAGGGCTGGGGTGGGGGGGGGTCAGGGGTGGAGGGGGTGGGGGGGGTCAGGGCTGGGGGTGGGGGGGGTCAGGGCTGGGGGTGGGGGGGTCAGGGCTGGGGGTGGGGGGGGGTCAGAGCTGGGGGTGGGGGGGGGGGTCAGCGGTGGGGGGGGTGTCAGGGCTGGGGGTGGGGGGGGGTCAGGGCTGGGGGTGGGGGGGGGTCAGGGCTGGGGGTGGGGGGGGGGTCAGGGCTGGTGGTGGGGGGGGTCAGGGCTGGGGGTGGGGGGGGGTCAGGGCTGGGGGTCAGGGTGGGGGGGGTCAGGGCTGGGGGTGGGGGGGGTCAGGGCTGGGGGTCAGGGGTGGGGGGTCAGGGCGGTCACGTGGTGGGGCGCTATGGTGGAGGTGTTGGAGGGCACGTGGCGGATGATAGAAAGCACGAACTTCGACGCCTACATGAGAGCACTGGGTAAGCGGTCAGTCAGCCCCGGGGGGGGGGGGGGAGAGGGGGTAAAAACAGCGGAGGGAAGGAGGTTCACCTCAGGGCGGCCTCATCCTCATCGTGCGGCCACTTGCGCCCATATGGGGGTGTGGAGTGGAGTGGTGTTCCGGGGCCTCGGTGTCGGGGTCGGGGTTGGGGGAGAGGAGGAGGTGGTGGTGACTGCGGGGGGTTAAAGGACAGCGGCCCTGTCCACCTCCGTCGTCGTCGACGCCTCCCCCCCCCCTCCCCCCACCAACAACCCCCCCCCACCACTAACAACCCCCCCCCACCACCAACAACCCCCCCACCACCAACACCAACAACCCCCCCACCACCAACAACCCCCCCATCACCGACCTACCCCCAAAACCCCCTCCCCTTTTCTCCCCCACCCCAACTCCAATCCCCACCACCAACAAGCCCCCTCCCTTTCCCCACCGACCTACGCCCCCAACAACACCCCCCACCACCCCACCTTGTCCCCCACAAACTCAGCCCCCCCTTCTCCCGCCCCCCCCCCCAACCACGAACAACACCAAGCCCTCTCCTTGCCCCCCCCCCCCCACCCGCACCCCCCACCCCACCACCATCCACCAAATATTTTGATTTACCATGAGCATCGATGCGGTATTACTGTGCCCGAGGGTGAGGAGCAATAAAAGGGAGTGTGACCGCTATATTCGGGAGTAGTTTTTATGGCTATTGTTTGCTTATTTCTGGTCTTTGCCTTGAGGAGTGAACTTTAAAACCCGACAGGTGGGCAACGTCTCCAGACCCACTACCGTCATCAAAGTGGACGCGAATCTGATCACTCTGAAAACCATGTCCACCTTCAAAAGCACCGAGATCAACTTCCAGTTGGACCGAGAGTTCAACGAGATCACGGCGGATGGTAGAGATGTCAAAGTACGGGTGGCATTCTGGCGTTTGTCGTTCTCTCTCTCTCTCTCTCTCCAATATATCCTTCCTTATAGATCTCCAGGTCTATCAGGTATTTGAAAGATAATTTTCATTCATCCAAATCAACCGCTCCGCAAACACGGATGCGTTTTACGTTAGAACTACCAGACACTGAGGTAAGAGGAACGCAACAAACAGAAAGGTTTTTGAGGTCGCAGTTGAGAATTGTGAACTCAAAGAACTTAAGAGGTTAAATAGAGCGTAACCGGACAGACTCAGTTCACGCAAAATCCGTGCAATTTTGAACTCTTATCTTTAACCTCACCTTTAAACTATTGACCCATTTTTATAATTGCCCGAAAGTAATTGGCAGCTGTTGTTGTTCTAGTCACTTGTGACGTGGTCGAATGGAAAATTAATTCACATTCAAAAGTGGAATGGAAGACAGACAACCCTTCTTCGAGAAATCAAAGATAGCTATATGATATTGGTATGTTGAAGTACCAAATGAATGCATTGCATTTCCAGTTACTATGTTAAACATTAGCTGTTTTTACTTTCAATTAAAATAAATTATTTGTAGAGTATATTCTAATATACATGTCTAACTTTAGAACTGCTTGATGGTAAATCTGTTCCTTTACAACAACAAAATTACATTTGTGTAGCACCCTAGGATTATATTATTACGTTAAGGATTAAAATGATCTGGAATTCTAAATCTACAATTATAACAAAATGTACCTTCTATTTACTTTTTGAACTGGTCTTTGTTTTTATTTTAGACTCTTACATTGGATGATGTGGTTTGCACTCGTAAATATGAGAAGGCATAGTCTCTTGTTAAGTATCTTCAGATTCCATAGTCCTTTACTGCATTTAGGCCATATGTTATGGGCTCTGGCACTATCAACTGGTAGCAGCATTGTTCTGGTTAACTTGCAGCAAACTACAGTACTGTTTAAATGTAATTCCTTCGATAAACGTGAAAAACTATTTGCAAATAAAATTATATATTGTTTTAAAAAAATTATGCTTTTTTTGAAGATCAAATTGAAGCTGTGAGTTGAATTCCTTTTAATTATCCAGCGATCATTTTTTTCTGTTTATCAAGTACTTTTCATTGGCAAACTCGTAAAAAGATAACTTTTGTCAGATATTTACCTAAAATTTCAATGTTTCCTCAGTGAAACACTTTTATGGATGTTTTCAGACTTTAAGAAGTCCTATAACTTTATAACAAAATCTAAACACATTGCTCCCTTATTATATTATTAATTTCAGTTCATTTAATTAAGAGGACCTAAAGCATGAATATTGATTCAAGTAGTAAAGTGTCATTGAAGTATTTGCAAACATCTGTTTTCTCTGAGCAATTCTTTTGTTAAAGTCCATGTTTCTTCACATTTCGATGGTGTAAAAGCCTCTAATCCAAATCGAGTTTTAAATTCTTTAAATAATTTCTTGATAACATTGTGGAATTTAAAATAGCAGCCACTACACTGCTTTGGACTGAATATACAAAACAGTCTATTCAGGACTGAGAAATTAACTATTGGTAGTCCCCAGGCATCATGAGATAGTTAAGTTTTTATTTTCGAAAAACATGAATGCAAAATCGGAACACTACAGCTAAATAATAGTGCTTCAACTTTAATCCAGCACATGGGCAGCAACAAGCATACAAATAATTCTGAGAACAGCACATTCAAATTTTTCAATGTCAAGAAATATTTTGTAATGACAAATCGTGACGACACCAAACGTGATTTAAGACCTGACAACTTAAATAAAATTAATCTTATACATTTCTGGATAAAATTGTCATTTATCTCCCTTTCTAGATTCCTTATGCTTATGTTTTTTCTGCTTTTTCTTTTTCTGCATCTTATCCGAATGCTTGCGTTTCTTGTTTTTTGAACGGTTCTGCTCACGGTCTGAGTCTGACGTCTTAGAAGAATCAGATTCTGAGGATGATCTCTTTTCTTTACTCTTCCTTTTCTTTTTTTCTTTTTCCTGTAACAAGTTAGATGTTTGTGCATGTCAGGAGTCTAATTTGGGAAAATATCTGACTTTCCAAGATAGTCGGGGATAGCAAACACAAACTGTTATTACTTCTTTTTGTATTTCAACTTCACCATCCTCTTGTCATAAGATAATGTGGCTTTTACTTTTTTGTAGGTTCATCATGAATAGCTGTTTCAGCAGTCATTGTAAAATATTTCCTAAAGGCACCAGTGCCACTCTGGTACCTCACTCAAGGGGCTGTACATGTGAAAGTGTTATTAAGTGTTAACAGAATTGCATAAGATATCATAGCGCAGTCCGCTCATTTCCTCACTCAACATGTACATACCTCCCAGTAGATGCCTCTTAAATATGAGAGGTCACCACCTTAGCACAGGACAGATAAAAACAACAACTTTTATCCATAATTAGTGGAACTTTTCCGTGTGGTACAATTACTAGTAATATATTAAAGGTTTCAATAACTGTTGATAGCAGTTTTAGATTGAACTTCAGTTAATAAGATCACATTGAAACATTTTCACCTTCAACTTTGCAAATAATTTCTTTAAAAGGAAACAGTTGAAAAGCATAATTGATTTTTTTTATGGTTGGGGTTCTGTTACTACCTTCTTTTTTTTCTTTGGTGGCTGAAGATCAGACTGGGTGGATGGGCCAGCCGGTTCCACTTCTTCTTCTGGCACGAGGCTGTATTTAGTGCCTCCTGGCTGTGAGAAGCAATCTTTTGCAAAATGTCCTGGAAGAGGAAGGGGGTGGGGGGGGAAACATTAGCACTCAGTGTTCGCATACCTTCCTGTGGGTGCCTCTCAGAGAACACACTGAATTTCTAAACAAAATGTTGTGTGCAGCAAATAATTGTGTGAATGCATTGTACCATAAGATTAGATTATGAGCATCATATGACTTAACATTTTAAACAAGTAGATCTCATCTCACCAAAACCATGTGCAACAAATTGGACTTGGAAAGAGCCTAGTCTTGTCAATCGCCAAATTAAACCATATGATCATAATTAGGTTTTCTCATTGAAAACCTCATCACTAGCACAGATCTCTATCACTATCTCACTGCTGAATTCGGTCAGACAACAGAGCTTCCAATGAGTCCTATTGAAACAGGCCATCTTTCAAACAAGGTACAGAATAATTTAATGAATTGCTTTGAAAACTTAAAATACTGCACAGGTGTAATATTCTCAAATTCAGTTACTTGTGCTACTTTATACTTGTGGGACCAATGCTCTCTGAAGATTTTCTTTATTACCATCCATACTATTTTTCGAATGAATTCAAAACCAATAAAATCAAGTGAGCTAATTTGTAGCAAGTACCTTTACACCCACATTTTTTGCAGAATGTATTTAGCACAGCTTCAAGTGTTATCCTCTGGCTTGTGTAGTCTTTGAATTTGCGTTTCCTTCTCTCTTCCTGGCTGCAAAGGTAAAATAATAATTGTCAAAATCATCGCAATCTAAACCACACCACCAACATCACTCAAATTCTATGTGTTGCACACAAGAACTTATTCCAATCCATACAGAACTCAAATAAAATACACTGCTCAATTCTGCCAGTGCAGAGTTGGCAGATGTCATTTTTACATCAGAGGAAATCTATAATGGAAACATTTTTAAAAAATGCTCATAAAAAGGCCAGTGGGCAAATGTTTAAAGGCCTAAGTCATCATAAACAAGTGATGTATCAAAAAGAGCCACTGTTTGTGTAGCTTTCTGCACGAAGATTTGCTCAATTCATCTTCCACTTGCACCAGGTGCAGATCACTTAATAATATATGAATTCTACAATATAGAATAGGAAATTATAAAGCAATTCATAAAGCAATTTTGAAACTTATGTGGAAAATTTAGCATCACATTATGTGTAATGCTGAATGTTTTCAAAATAAACACTTTGCATTTCATGAAGAAACAGATCAAGCAAACCACATACTCAAGAGACACATTATTGGGATCGAGGTCCTTCCCAGTTCCCTGATTGACAATCTTCATTGAAAGTGAAAGCTTGACTTTGCCATCCTTAATCTTAAAGAAAAACATTTTAGTTTAACCACAGTAATACACAGAAAGATGTGTTATTATTTTAATAGCTATACATATGCAAACATGGTGCACTATCAGAAGCTAAAGGGAATCTTGAAATCACAAGTAGGTTTACCTCTTTTCCAATTAATTTGACCCACACTCTCTCTCCAACATCAACTATTTCTGATGGATTATCCACCCGACTTGCTGACATTTGCGACTTGTGAACAAGACCTGTCAAATAAGCACAATCAATTAATTGATCAATCTTAATACATAAAAGCAAATACTAGATTATGTGATAGCTCAAGAGGATTCAGCCAGTAAGTAGCTGAGAGGTGGTAATTGCAAAAATTCCTTTACGGCCTGACTGAGAAATCTCCCTCTGCTTAGATTGTTGGTTATTTTTATTTAGAAAAAAGCAAAATCGAAGACTTAGTTTATTGGACTCTACATTCCTGAATCAAAAATCTCAGAAAGCTATACAACCATTTTTATACCTCCTGATAACTCTAAAAAAAACATGGGCAGCAAATATTGACAAACTTCATATACAGATCTAAAACAGTAAGAAACATAACAAAAAAGCTAAAATAGTAAGAATCAAAAAGACCATATCCTTCATAATTGGACACAAGAACCATGTTAGTGAAACAAGTCTTGCACCCCACAATACTGGTAGACATGAGCAAACTAATATAATGAGTATAGAACTAAATGAATATAGAAAGATACCTTGCTGCCTGCAACCAGGAATTTTAATAAATGCTCCATATTCTTTCACTGATGCAACCTGTAAAAATAACTTCAAAATTGATCAAACTTTCACAAGCAACTTAAAATTTTGATCCAACATTTAAATGGTGGAGAATATACCTCGCCTTCGAAGATTTCAAAGATTTCTGGCAACTCCTCCATCTTTAAGGAACCTGCTCAAAGGAAAGAAGGCACTTGTAGAATCCTTCACGTTGAGTTCATGTTCCGAGTGTCTTCATATTTCGTCAGAAATGCATCTTATAAAACAAAACACAAATACAATATCAAATATCTAGTGTCCCTTACATACATGCAATAATTCATGTAATACATGAGGAAAGAGTAGAATAGAGAGGTAGGTGGAGGCTAGGGAGGGGAATTGGGATGGTGGAAGCTCATGTAAACATTGGCACAGACCAGCTGAGCAAATGGCTTGTACCAGTGCTGTAGATTCTATGTAATCCCAAATCAAAATTGCCACACTGTACTCACTGTGTGGCTATATTTCTCTCAAATTCACTCAGGTTTTCCGGATCGTACGAGAAATACGCCTGGAGAGGCTCAGCATATTCGCTGACTTTTGAATCAAATACCGAATGTGACTTTTTCTCGTAATTTTCCTTTTCCTGCATTTCGCCCACAAAAACACGTTGTGGGCACTGCACTTTCCGGTGCATCCCGTGAAGTGCTTTGGGGGCGTCCTCCCGACTTGAAAGGAACTGAGCCAAATTTAAGGATCGTTTTCGATGCCCGACTCAAGTTTTTCTTTTAAGTTGACAAAAGACTTCGCGACGCAAAAGGCCGTCGCTTCGGTCAGGCCTAAGCTGTGCAGTTCTTTGCAAGAAGTGGCTTCGACAATCGACACGATAAGTCAGTTTGGAGCCACAGGAATTTACTCAAGTCTCAGTCCGTCTTAGGACCTTCCTTTTGACCGCACCTTCGGCCATCCAACCCCCCCCACTCCTCCATTGGTGACCACCTCTCCCGAATCCAACCCCCAGCAAACCCAGCCCTTCGGAACATCCTCGGGACGCGAAAGGAGTTACAGAAATGCCATTGGTTATCGTGGTAGAAATGTATTAGCAACAACAACGACGACGAGATTGCATTTATAGAGCGCCTTTCACGTCGGGAAGACGAAAGAGGTCACTCAGCCCTCCTCATGTTTGCGTTGGCGCTTTTAAACAGCAACAACAACCCCAACAGCAAATTGCATTTGTGTAACGCCTTTCACGTCGAGAGGACATGGCGAAGGAGACGGCGGTGGGTGGGGGGATAAAGCCACACGAGCCCAACTAATTGGTAAATAAAATTCACTCCAAACTCCGGGTAACGACAGGCACCGAACCTTGCGGCCGACGCCATTTTGAATCCTCCTCTCCCGCCCTGAGCCGAGCGAACCAATCACGCGGAGCCTTACTGAGCGCCGGGGTGCAGCCTAGCGTGCTGGCGGCCTGGTGGCGGACAGCGGCCAATCGCGGCCGGGGAAGCGGTTGGCCCCGCCCCCTGATCTGCCGTGACGGAAGGGCCCGTCGGCCAATGAGAAGCGAGGATGTTGAAGAGTGGGGGGGAGTAGGGGGGACGAGTCAAGTTGGGTTGGCCGACGGCGAGCGACCGGGCGGCTGTTTGTTGGGAGTGTCGTTGACGTCGTCGTCGTCGGTGGTGAAGAAGAAGAAGAAGAACGAGGGCAACATTTTTTTTGTGTGTGTGTCTTGGAAGCGAAAGAGGGACCGCGGTTAAATACGTGAGCGCGAGGCCATTCCACTCCGGGCGGCCAAGATGATCGACCAGAAGCGGAAAGCCCAGGAGCTGGTGCTGGTGGCGGCCAAGCGGCCCAGGAGCGAGCTGGTGGCCATGGCTCAGGGCAACCAACAGGCCCTGCTCCAGGCGGCGGTGAGCCTTGTGCTGACACGAGAGAGAGAGGGAGAGAGAGAGAGGGGGGGAGGGTGTGTGGAGGATATTAGGGGGGGGGGTTTCTCGCAAGATTTAGGGGGGAGCGATTCCACTTGATTTAAAAGGAGAAGTTGCACCTGAGTCTGTCATCATCATAATAATAATGATCCTCGCATTTGATATAGCGCTTTTCACGTCGGGAGGACGTCCCAAAGCGCTTCACAGAACACACTGTAAAGTGAATTGACTGTGTATTTGTGGGCGAACGCGGCGGCCAATGGCGCACAGCAATATCCCACAAACAGTCGTAGATTGAAAATGACCAATTTATTAATTGTTTTGGGTTTTTTGGAGGGACTATTATTAGGCTCTGTGTGGAGTAAGGAAACTTGCCCAAGGTTTCGCCCTCTGCCTGGAATTGAACTCAGGTCTCTCGCTTGCAAAGCGAGTGCTCTAACCACTGAGCTACAGGACTCCACATCATCATAATCCGTTGCCCACAAAATACACAGTCACTCCACTTTGCAGCATACTCTGTGAAGCGCATTCAGACGTCTCGAAAACGGGATGAGGCGCTGTACCAAATGCAAGGATTATCACTGTTATCGTACATCAACATCGCACAGCGCCTTATCGATGCGTTGAGATGTCTCGAAGCACTCACTTGGCAGAATATGCCATAAAGTGGATTGACCGCGTATCTGAGGGGAGAAATTCCGCCGAGATCTAGGTTTAGGGGAGGAAATTCTGCCCAGTCTAGATTTATTAATTGTAATGCTCACCGTATGAAGTACAGACTCTAAAACCGCTTCAATGACGACATTTAACAGCGCCTCAATGACAACATTTTACACAACACCTTCCATGTCAAGAGGACATCTCAAAGTGATTCACACAACTGACTGGGAACTGAACTGTACGGCTTTGGGTTTTGAAAGCGTGTCTCACCTGAACAGATGTCTTTCCAAAAATATCTTGTACAGGGAAGCGCATCCTTTCTCAATATAAAAAAAACCGATTGATGCTGAAGAAAGCACTAAAAAAAAGTTTTTAAAATAGTAGAAACGGATGACTTTCTGCCGCTTCAAGAAAACGTTTGAAAAAATTAGAATTTTGAATGTTTTTAAAACCAAATTAAGTTCCCATGGTGTGGGGAGAGGGGGCCGTAGTATCAAAAAGGAATCAATAATTGAAATAGAGAGGTTATTTACTTCCTTTTGTGATGATCTTAGCCAACTTTTATTTGTGTACATCCTTTTTGTTTGTCATTTTAGGGTCCTTCCAGGTCGTCGAGTCTTCAAGCTCCTATAATGCTTCTCACAGGTCACGAAGGAGAGGTTTACTGCTGTAAATTCCACCCAAATGGATCAACGCTCGCATCAGCAGGATTTGACCGACTCATATGTAAGTGAGGAAACTTACATGACTTTTGTTGAATTTTTATCATGCAAAGTACAGGCTAGAGGTATTAAAAACTAAACTGGTTGGTGTTACTGTTTTAGATAGAGGTGGTCAAGCAACAAAGAAGGTGCAGTAGTGACAAGCATTTTCATAAATGAATTTCTGAGACACTTTGTGATAAAATCCAGCTGAAAGCATTACTGTTTATGCTTTTAAAATATTATGATAGTTGTTGCAATTTTGTTTACTTCCTATCTGGTTCTCCCCACCAACCCCCATAAAAAAATATTGACTATTATTCACTGATGTAACCAGTGTTATACACTTGTACTTGTACCTCTTTCTTTGCAGTGTTATGGAATGTGTATGGAGAATGTGACAATTTTGCAACATTGAAGGGGCACAGTGGAGCAGTCATGGAATTACATTATAACACAGATGGCAGGTACTGTAACATACACACTCTTGTGTCTCTTAATCATCCTATAGTAATAGGATGTACATATGGTGATAGTATTAGTAATGGCTGCAGACGTCTATGTATATGTTTTCTAAATACTGTCAGTTTGCTTCAATGGGATCGTAGTTGTGTGTATGTGGGGGTGGGGGTAGAAGTAGAAAGACACATAAGTATTGCTATGATTTGAGTGGTGATAATCTTGATTAATTGCTGAGCAATCTGAAAAACCAAAGTGTGGGGATTTTATTGAAATAATTTTAAATGGGAAGAAAAATGAACACATAATTTGGGCTCTTACTGCTAGATTTTATTTTTTATACATTGACTTTGATACTGTGTGTTAAAATTCTGTCCTTGTCTTAATATTTGCTTGTCCTCTGCAGCATGCTATTTTCAGCATCAACAGATAAAACGGTAGCAGTGTGGGACAGTGAAACGGGTGAAAGAATCAAAAGATTGAAGGGTCACACATCTTTTGTGAACTCATGTTACCCAGCCAGACGGGGGCCACAGTTAGTCTGTACAGGAAGCGATGATGGAACAGTAAAAGTGAGTGTGTTAATATAGAAGCAAAATGTACATTTTAAAAAAAGTTAATTCACATTTTTTAAAGGAAAATATAGATCTGTTTCTGCAGAGTACAACGTACCAGAAATAGTTAATATTCAAATGACATCATTTAATATTTCTAGCTATGGGACGTCAGGAAGAAGGCTTCAATTCACACATTTCAAAACACCTATCAAGTATTGGCGGCAACATTTAATGACACAAGTGATCAGATTATCTCTGGTGGTATCGATAATGACATTAAGGTAAGCATCTGTCTTAAACAAATGGCATTTTGGTTATAGTCTCCAGTCTTAAGTTATGATCTTGTGTTTAGTATCTTTTGGGGCTTGTACTCCGATGTGGGTAAATGTGAGTTAGCTGCAGAATTCAGTTTGCATTTCTTATTTCAATGTCCACTACGTTTCTTTAAGGTGTGGGACCTACGACAGAACAAGTTAATCTATACAATGCGTGGACACACAGATTCTGTCACAGGCTTGTCTCTAAGTGGAGATGGCTCCTACCTTCTCTCAAATTCAATGGATAATACAGGTAACAAAATAACATGGTTCATTTTTGTTGGGGAAGGGTTGGTTAATTCTGCACTATATAAGACTGAATGCATTAAATATATCAGATCAGTTAACATATCAATACATGTTGCTTTAGAGGACAGGGAAAAAGTGTTGTTCTAATTAGACACTTTCTGGCAAATAAATGTCAGGGATACATCCCGATAAGTGAATTTGTATTATAATGAAACATGTCTTCTAAGGTGATGTATTATACAGATCAAAAGTTTTCTGATTGCTGAAGTTTTTTTTGTTTGATTCTAGTGCGAGTCTGGGATGTACGGCCATTCGCTCCTAAGGAGAGATGTGTGAAAATATTCCAGGGAAATGTGCATAACTTTGAAAAGGTGAGTTGAAATAAAACTGTGTTACAAATTGTGGAACAACAACTTGCACTTGTGTAGTGCACTATTGTCTCGGAGAATCCAAATGAAAGCACTTATTGATCCTTTAAAGACTGAGGTGGTGTTTCCTTAATAACGGTCCAGAATTTGGGCAGTTGGGGTGATTTCGCTTGGTGTGGGAGACGTCATTGGTTATTGCAGTAGGACCTGTTCTGAGATTAGAGTTGGGCATAATGATCTATTTCTCCAGCTATGAGCGTGTTCTCTTTCCTATCCCTTCACCACCCTACCACCTTATATTAAGGCCAAAATACATCCCTCAAAAAACAGTATAAAATTGTTTTTACAATGTTTGATATTTCCCCTTTTTTGTAGAATCTCTTGAGGTGTTCATGGTCAGCTGATGGAAGCAAAATAGCAGCAGGATCTGCAGACCGGTAAATATTGCTTCATAAGCCTTTCTGAGGAAATGAATGCATTTATCTTTTACTTATTTGTGATGTACACAATTGGCTGCTGCGTTTTGCCCACAAAATACACAGACAATTCACTCTACGGTATATTCTGTGAAGCGCTTTGAAACGTCTGGAAGCCTTGATAAGGTGCAATATCAAATGCAAGGATTATTATGTGAACTTGCGACAATACATGACTTAACTACTTTAGTTCAATTCCTGCCAGACCAGTTAATGAGACTTAAAATCTCAGTAGTTTTGCATTCATTCTACCCTTCTGAATCAGTTCAAATTATAGAAAATTGATTTAGTGCCTGCACCATGAAAAAAATCAATCAGCTGGTGTGTTTTCCTTCCAATATTGTCATGGTAGAATTTATTTAATTTGTTTTGTCTTTAATACTCATTTCATTCAACCTTTTAATGTCCCTTTAGGCAAGTAAAATGGTGTGGGTTGTTATTTTATTAGTGGAGTAGCTTGATAGCTGAATGGCAATGTCTTAAACTTGTGAGATGTAGTTGCATGATTTCCAGAAACACAGATAGTAAAGACTGAATCTAAAACTGAACATGAAAAAGATTCTGCAAAAATGTAAAAGTGTCGAATGAAATAAAAGACAATGTGAAAGCTGAAGCAATGGGTGGAGGATTTGGAAATTTAATTATTAACAATGCTTCAGTGAGGAAATATCCTTTTAAATGAAAGTAGCATAAATGATTGCCAGTAATCTTTCTGAAGGCCATGCTATACCAGTTTCTGCCTGTCTTTTTTTCCTCCAAAAAAAAATCATTCTTGATGTTTCAAACAAAGGGTTTACTGCAACATGTGCTTTATAAATAGTTCAGATGGATACTGGGCAAAATTTTACATTAATAAATAATCATCCTTGTAAAGGATGGTTTTAAAAATAAACTGACAACATTTCTGATGGCTTCTAAAGAGATGTATGATGCTTGGAAAAAGAAAATAGGAGCTCTTCAATGTACTGGTAAAAAGAGATGCATTATTTCTTACAGATTTGTTTATGTCTGGGACACAACGTCACGAAGAATCTTGTATAAACTGCCAGGCCATGCTGGCTCTGTAAATGAAGTGGCATTTCATCCTGAAGAACCAGTCAGTAAGTATCTGCTGCAGCCAGTATATATATATTTGGTTTTATATCTTAAATACAAGTTGCTTCAACATAAGTAACACCATTGTACACTTCTCTGCAGTAAGATTCTAACTCGCATTCAGTTTTATGAAGGTATAGTTATACGTTGGATCTTACAAAATATTAATATGCTGAGTCATTTGAACAGTTGCCATATCACAAATTTGCCAAAATCCATTAAAACTGCTGCTAATTAATATATGTAATAGATAGAATAAAATATAATTTAATTAAGGAAAATACTAAAGTTTTTTTTCCTGTATTCCAGTTCTTTCAGCATCCAGTGACAAAAGACTTTACATTGGAGAGATACAATAAAGAGGAACAGCTTGAGAAAAGGACTCGGTTTTATTTCAACTGGTAGATACCCAAAAATGACTGTTTGGAGAAAAGTACTCAAAATTACAAACTTGAAACTTCTGCCAACAGGTCCAACTGTGTCCCCTCTTGGCTATACATTTTCTATTTTTATTATTTGATAAACTAAGCAGAGCGTCAATGACAGCGGGAAGCTTTGATTGCAAATGCCAGTGCTCTGTGTGTGGATAATCTGTGTACATGTTAAATACATGGTCTGTATTCTGTTTATCACAGCTGTTTTTATATTGATGGGAAATAAAGACAATTTTCCTTACAATTGTCATTGGAATGGATTGAGGGATGGCTTATGAACTTGGCTTCTGATAATCTTCGTGTTTTTCTGTTGTTCCTGTAATTTAGTTTTATAGTTTAGGTATTTCTAAAGAGCTGTGGTATTGATAGATGACTGAGTCTCTCAGAGCCATATTTCAGTTCTTAGCACCTAAAGCTGTAACTTAGCACCAGCCTCCGAAAGCCAACACCACTGCATCATGTGCAACATTTCCCACTTCCCACATTATTTCTCCTTCGTGTTCAATCGCCCATTTTGTACTGTGTTACACGAATAAGTACCTGTGCGTTTGCACAAACTTATTTCACATAAACCAGCAGAGAAAAGGCCTCTTTGGATTCAAATGCAGGTTCTAACAGTAAAGGCAACATTTAAAATGTGCTGTCTTTTCACCATCCACCAGAGAATGTGCACCAAACATTTTATCTTTGGAATCGTAAAGATCTTAATTACAAGGGCACCCAACACATTTCTTAATTTGTGTGCTGCGTGGCAATTAATTGAAGATAAAATATAAGCCTATATAAATATTCCCATTTCTGATCTACGCTTTATGAAAATTATTTTTCCTGGTTATGCTCCTGATAAAATCGAAAAAAAAAAAATGTTTGCCAACTGCTTGATATGACATTCAGTCATTAAAACTATGTTAATGTATTTTTGTGCATTTGTTTGCTTACTACACAAATGTACAAATATATGCCCAACATGTTCGTGTCCATGAATCGAATCTGCCTTGATAACTTGTGTGGTCATACTCAAGCACTGGAGTAAAATATTTGCGACTTATGCACTCGTGTGCACATCTGAGCATTTGATTACTCTCTTGAGTCCAGTTTGTCAATAATCTACATTAAAAGAAACCATTCTGAGAGTGCATCATGTTAGTGTTTTATTGCTTTTTTTTTAAAAGGTGTAAAGCTATGGGAACGTTGCCAATAATATACGGATTAATAAAAGAACTGTAGCTCCCAGGAGGGTAAAGAGTGCAAGTGCTATGCAGCTAACCAAGCCTACGGTCACTAACAGTTCTTCCATGTCTGTATCTTTGCGGAGGTACTGTTGTTTGCATTGTATACACTTGCAGCTGACGATTAATACGGAGATAACGAGCGTTACGTGAACTACAAGCACTATAACGATATCGCGCTCTATATGGTGCGGTGTTTCTGGAGAAGCAACTTGAGTGACTGGTATTAATTCAAACTGCTGAGGAATTTTCTGGCTATCTGTAAAACAGAAAAAGGGGCAACTAAAAAAAAATTATCCTTTATGGTCGAAACCAGATGATCGTACAGTGATGAACCAGTTTATAAAATGCTGTAAATGTTACAATATGAATTTTTAAAAGGAACATCGTTTGCATTTACTGTGATGTTTTAGAATAGTGATCGCCTAACTTCAATATTGGGATATTTTTTATTTAAACCCCCACTCTCTCTGCCTAAAGGTGCATGTGAAGCAAAATGGTACATTTCTGTTCAGTGCAAGGCAATTCTCACACACAAATGACCTCACTCAATACCCTGCCCCCAACCCCCCCCACCCCACCATTCGAACTCCATCCCACAGTCCCTTCGCCTCATCTGTTGTCTCTTTCAGTTACAAGACCTTCCTCTTTGACCACGCTTTTGGTCAACCTCCCTGCCTTCCACCCCTTCTTATTTCAACCCCCTGCTCGGTCCATGGCTCCAGCGTCTTGGGACATCCAATGTGAAAGGCAAATGTAATTTGTTCTGATTCACCATTCACCATCAGGGCTACAAAACGTACTTCGTCTTTGCACCCTCCTCCTGCTGTGCCCAATACTAGTAGCTGTGAGGACAGATAATGTATGTCATTAGGGACTCTGCGGAATTTTGCAAAATTACCTTTCTCCGCTGCTGTAATGGATTCGTATTTTTGAGAAAGATTTTCAAATTTCTCCGCAATGATTAGACGCTCCATCTATAATGGAAGGGTTATATTTAAAGTGAGTCACTGCTTTCGAGATGTGAGGTTAGTCAGTGTACCTCAAACATTAACCGTGGGAGAACTGCAGACGTATGATGCTCACAAAATATACATTCAATTATTCACTTTACAGTTTATAACCTGTGAAGGACTTTAGATGTCTCGAAGACATGATAAGGCGGTATATCAAATTTAAGGATTATTATTATACCATTCGCCATCAGGACTATGAAACCTACTTCATCTTTGCACCCTCATCCTGCTGTGCCCAATACTAGTAGCTGTGAGGACAGATTGCGTGTCATTACGGACTGTACAGACTTTTGTAGAATTACTTTGTTGCTGTAATGGATTTTTGAGAAAGATTTTCAAATTGTTATGCCAGGTGGGGTATTGCTGATGTATAAGCAATTGGTACTATTCAATTCATGGAACACATTGCTGGCGGTGGTTTTAAAGCTCTACTTCAATCTCGGGATGCTTCTTGCATTTGATTTCAGAAGCAAACATCTGAAATTACATCTTCTATGAACTGGGTATCAGGGTTATGGAGTCCATCGCATAATACCTTTGCCCACTGAGCACTTTGCTGTTGCTGTGCAAAGCTTTGAATTACAGCTTCCAGTGTTTCAGACTGTTAATGAGCTGTTTTATTTATAAATAAACGTGAAACACTCACAAGTTCTCCGTTCTCCACAGTTTCCATTTCGACTAATTCTTCCTCCACTTGGCATTTTGACACCTCTTTCGGCAACTCGTCAGCTTCTGCGATCTGGCACAGATTACGTAGAAATTATATAAGGGGAAGAGATGAGGGAGAAAGCGAGACAGAGAGAAAAAAATCATTCGATAAGAGCTATATAGAAACGGGATGAAATCGTGTCATGAGTTTTGTGTCCTAGAATTCTCTACTCTTTGAGTTGTTCTCAGAGGTGGGTTGTCAGGAAGCAGAGAAGAGAGGCCCAAGTGCATCTCTACAAGAGGATGGAAGAATCAGAAAAAGAAACAGACCATTTCACTTAAATGAAAACCTTCTACTTTCTCAATATATAACGTGACTGCCTGGCACACACTTGTTCATTTGGCTTTTCTCTGGAGGGTGTACAGCAGGTGTTCTGAGTAAACTTTGAGAGCAGGCACTCTTGCTTTGCGGAAATATAATAGTTCTGTGCCTGACACATTTTCATCCAGAATATATTTTAGATTTATATTCTCTGTAGACTTATCCACAGATATCTAAATATCTGGCAATACAAAACACTGAAAGGTTACCCAAAGCGATTCTACCACAAAGCAATTCTGGATCCAAGAGACACTAAACATTTATAGTCAGCGACAGCCCTTCGCACAACATACTCAGGTTGTCCAGAAATTCTCATCTTTTATAACACAGCATATGCACACCTCCTTTTCACTTGCTTAAAATATCTTACAGCTCTACTGGAACCGCAAAGTGATTTAAGTTTCCCTCCCCAAAATATCGGGACTCTCCTTTATATCAGAAATACTCACCGGCTCTTGAAAGTCATCTTTGCAAATGGGTTGCCCTGGGACAAGTGCGAGAGGAAGTTCTGGAAAGTTTTCCATTGTCAACTCATCATGTAATACAAAATAAAGTTTGAAAACAGAAATGGAGAATCTCAGTGCACAGAAGGAAACAGATTGAAATTCTGTCATAATTTGGTACACATTGCTGAGTGAATGGCAGCAGGCTACAAGTCTATCCTATCACCCCTGGGACCTTTGGGATCTGGGTTAAATTGTGGTCAATACAAAAAAATACAATACAAAATTACAATTGCATAGCGCCTTTCATGTTGGGAGGACGTCCCAAGGTCCTGGTCTGTCTCTGACTGATAGGATATAAATTTCCTGTCCGGTGGCTGCAGTGGTCCTAAGTGAAATTAGTTTGAATAGATCCAATCTCATTTCTGATAGGCTTGGGGCCACAGCACAAAATGTGCTCTAATTTGGCGCACCGGCACCCAAATTGGCGTTCTTGTTAAAAAAAATGCTATCAGAATGCTGGTGTCAAAAATGGAAATCACATACTGGTGTAATTTGGAAGATCCCGAGTTTGTTGGGTGAGACACCCTTTACTCCAGTTAATATTTTATACGATAAACCTCGCAATAAGTCCTATCAGTTGGGACCATACATTTAATCTGATTGATGCAAAGTATATGAAATTTGCATAAATTACAGGAAATTCAAAGGGACTTGGGAAGATGTATGATTTAGGTGATTATACGATGTGTACAGAACAGATTTCAGTGTATTTTACTGTATAATATACAATTTTACTGTTAAGATGTGTTAATTTTTACTTTTACAGTTTTGTAAAGGTTTTCGCTGGTAGCTATCTCAGGGAAGAGATGCCACTCGTACGTACATCATTGCTTTTACTGTCTTCTGCCTGGATTGATTCCTTTGGGACGAATGGATCAGCCTCTGGTTGCTCAGTGGTCAAATAATGTTCTGGTTTCTCTTGTGGATCAGTTGACAAACAAAATGGAACATCATTCTTCAAACGGTGTGCTGGATGCCTTGGCCAATCATCCCATCTAATACATCCTGTTTTATTTGGAAGAATAGTCTCTGAGACATTAGCCTCTGTGAGATCTTCCTCTGGGAGATCTTGTTGTGGGAGATCAACACCTTTGAGATCCACACCTGGAAGATCAACACCTGGGCGATCAACATCTGGGAGATCAACATCTGGGAGATCACCACCTGGGAGATCAACATCTGGGAGATCAACATCTGGGAGATCAACACTTGGGAGATCAACATCTGGGAGATCAACATCTGGGAGATCAATATCTGGGAGATCAACACCTGGGAGTTCAACATCTGGGGGATCAGCCTTTGAGAGATCAGCCTTTGAGAGATCAGCCTGTGAAGAATCAGCTGTCAAAAGATATCCTGAATGCTTTGGAGGATCAGCCTCTGTAACAAGCCATATGTTTTCGTTGAGCTCAGTCTTTGGAAGATGGGCCTGGAAACGTTTTTTTAACTTTTGCCAAGGTTCAGCTGTCGGTGGATATCTTAGTAGTTTCTTTACAGGGTGAGTGGCGAGAAGATGTCCTGGACTGATATTCACTGTTGATTTCTCTTGCGACACCTAGGGATATGATCAGTTGGAAACAAAATAATATAGCTGCCATAGAGGATCAATCGGCATTGTCCCTTTCCTCAGGTTTCGCAATTTATGCAAAAAAAAACAGACGGCTCTGAACTTTAGCGGACAATTTAATGCAATCTCGCTCATGTTCTATTGTTACATCACTTGGGTCAGTCGTTCAGTTCTTCCAACAATGGGTCACCTGCTCTGATTGTTTAATTGGTCATTTATTGGTTAACTTGCTCTGAGGACCCGCGAGTCGTCAAACTAATGAAAGATCTAAATCATCGTGTTGCTGCAAGAGATTTATTGCATGCCTGAAGCCAGTCGCAGGAGGAAATTCCTTCACAGGAGAAATTTTCTAGGTCTCTTTCATCCGCTGTGCACGTGATGAAAAACGACCAGATAAAGCTGCTGCGAGTGAATGGAATTGCTTCACATTATTAATAAGAATATTTGATGGAGCACCATCTCATGTCATCGAAAACATCTCACAGCCTCACATACAGTGTGCATTTGTGGGTCAACACTTGTAGTAGCAACGATGAGGCTAACACTTCATTAGAAAGGAGATAGCATTATAAGAATAAGAATAATCTTTGCATTTGCTAGAGCGCCTTAACACTTCGTTGAGCCATCTCAAGCCGCTTCACAGAATATATTGTAAAATGGATTAATTGACTACGTATTTTGTGGGCAAGATGCGACAGCCAATTTTTGCACAAGAGGAGTGGATTGAGTGACCACATTTTTTTTTACACATACCCATCATCATCAATATATTTTAAGTACTCGTTCTGAGGCGAAGCAATCAAAGCCACACCAGGGATTCGACAATGAGAACTAAATCAAAGCACATTACAAACTGATGGATTTAAGCGGCTTTTTTTTGCGTGTTTCTACTCAGAAATCTCAGTCTCCGAACTTACTTCAAGCGGAAATGCAGACTCAGAGCTGGTGGTCAGCAGGTCACCAAGCGGATATTGGTTCTTGGGATCAACATCACCTGGAGGCTGCCTTGGATACTCATAGACAGGTGGCTCCTCAATGCTTGACCCATAGAGTGACTCCTTCAAACACTGGGGGAATAAAGTCTCAGGTGGCCCATCAGAAAATAAATTATGATACAGGACATTCAGAGAAAAAGTTGCAGTGACGATAAAGATAATGCCACACCAGAAAGACATTGGTTGGATGGATGATCTGCACCACTTTGGTGATGATGGACTACATTGTATTACATCCCCATCCCCTGGTCTCTCCCCTTGTCTGAGCTATTCAAGTCGTTTCCAGGACGAGACATTGAGGAACGTCACAAAGCTCTGATTCTCGAGTCCACACAGAGAGAGAGAGAGAGAGAGAGACCTTTGGCACAAAACCACAAGAGAAACATCATCTTTCCACAGACAACAGCCTTTTGGAATCAAAAACCTGCCACTTCTCTTTTTTTTTAACAATAAAGACACTTCCCCAAGTATTTCGATTTGAATGAAGCATTTGTTCTTTTCTTCTTCTTTTTTTTTAATTTAAAAAAAAATAATTCTTCTTCTTTTGAACGTCATTTTAAAACGATTTTTAAAATTTTTTTTTAAAAAAATGATCATTTTAAAATGACTTAAGCCTAATAACATTTTTTTTAATAAAAAAAAAACGACCTAGAAATTTTGAGGGAGCAATGAATCTATTTGCTATTTCGCAAAGTCTGGTCTGTCGTTAATAGATTGGTGATTTTTGATAAACTCAGTTGACAAAAGTTAATGAAGTATCTGACTTGAAAGTTGCCCAATTCTTGAGATCCAGTGAAAAAACATTTAAAACGATGAATAAGACACATTCCACCCCGAAAAAGGCTAAAAAAAAATTGCAAGGGGCAAACAACAATATACAAGTTATAATTATTCAAGGCTTATACAGTGATATAACAGTCAATGCAACCTTCTGCATCTTATAATATGATAATGATGAAGAGATTTATTAGTTCAGTTGGAAGATGGGGAGGAAAGGATTTGGAAGCAGCACTCGAAAGGGTTTCTGTTCCCAAGGAATCTTAGCTGAACTGTCCTTGCAATTGCATTTCATAAGAGTTAATTAAATTGGGCATTTCCAGCATTATTTTGCTTTTTCAAGTCGAATTCCAGCTGACCACTAGAGGTCGCCAGTCACCGCTCTACACACTGTCTTAATAATAATAATAATCCTTGCATTATTATTATTATTATTAAGACATTATTATTATTAACTCCTCAAAGTGTGAACAAGCGCTTAGCCAGACATATACTATATATAATATACACACACACGCACACACACAGCAAAATAATTAGCGCTGATTGGAAAAAAAATTGAACCGTTTCCGTCCAATTTGTCTAATTGAGTTAAACAATACGCTAAGCCGCGTTGCTCGAAGAACACCCGAAGATGCGGTGAGACGCTGTATCAAATGCGAGGAATATTTTTATTATTAACTTGTTAGTCCACTCGCTTCCCAAGCGAGAGGACCCGGGTTTGATTCCTAGGTGGGGCGAAACCCTCGGCAAGTTTCCTTACTCCACGTGCAGTAAGCAGGAGCCCGGTTGTTAGTCGATTAGCGGATTCTGACGGTAATAATCCTTCACCCCCCCCAAAATAATTTGATCACTCATTCCGGTTTATGGGACACAGCTGAGGGCAATTAGCTGCTGAGTTTCGCTCACAAAACACACACTTTACAATATATTCTGTGAAGCACTTTTAGACGTCTCAATGACATGTAAGGTATTATATCGAATGCGAGGATTATAATTATTATAATAACGTAATTTAATTTATTGTTCTGGGAATGAGAAGCAAAATATGGAAACAAAAGGTGGGGAGAGAGAGAAATAGAGGAGGGGCAGATCAACAATGAATAGAAATACACTGCACTTCCAAGTTATATAAAAGATAGAAACAAAAAGAAATGCGTGGGGGTGGGGTGAGGGGCGGGTGGAATGGGTAAAGCAATGGATCCGATTGTTTAAAGAGTGATTTGAGGGAGAAAACATTGATTGTGGAACTCGAGTAAAAAGTAATCGCAATAATAATAATCCTCGCATTCGATACAACGCCTTATCACGTCGTCGAGACGCCTCAAAGCGCTTCACGGGATATACTGTATTTTGCGGGCAGAACGCGCTGATGTAGAATAGCAATGAATAACTTTATTTTAAATATAAAAACGATTCCTTTTATACGTGTGTGTGTGGGTGGGGGGGGGGTAAGTGGTTGGGTGAAAGCATTTATATGAAATCAAGTGCTATCTGTGTGGCTGCTTAGTTAAAGTCTCCAACATAAGTGGTCGTTGGATAAGACAGCTGGTGATCACAGGGGTTGTCAATCAATCAGACAAATCACAGCTTCTTCTCTGAATTAAATAATTCCCCATCTCTTTTATTACCACCACCACACCCAGTGACTGTGTGAAAAGGGGTTTGATCAGGGCAGTACATTGTGAAACCTTTCCCCCACCCCTCTCTCCATCTCCCCCCCCCCACCACCACCACCCCCTCTCACCATCTCCCCAGTCAATGAGTTTCCCCCAACGTTGTGCACTGAAATTGGACAGATTCATTAGTCCTGAGCTGAGAGAGAGAGAGAGAGAGAAAGAAAGAGAGTAGCAGTGAGATGGATAGCAGCATCTAAAGGCGTGGCAAGCCTCTCTCAATGCCTTTTGCTCTCTGTCTCTCTCTCTCTCTCTCTGTCTGTCTGTCTCTTGCAAAGTGGACTATGAGAAAGCAATGAAGAGTGAGGTTGCAGGGGAAAGGAGAGAGCTTTAAAGGAAAAGGGAAGAGGTGGGTGAGTGGGAGAAGAGGGGCTGAGTGAGTGAGTGAGGCTGATTTTTTTTTAATATATATACCCAGCCTGGTCACTGAGGACAGCAGGACCATGCTAACCCAAGGCTGGAGCTTTGGACGTGAATAACTGTTGTGTGTTTTTTTTTTGCAAAAATATTCCCATTTGTTTGGGTTGATATCAATTTGCAGCCCATCCACCACCTCCCCACTGAAACTGACCAGAGTCTGGGACGATGGGTAGATGCAATGGTCGATGTAGTCTGATTGCACTCTGCTGTCTGCAGTTGGTAAGTCCAAGGTTTTTTTTTCTTAATTTGAAGCATTCACATTTGGAGTGTATGTGTGTTATGTGTTATGTGTGTGTGAGTGTGTGTGTGTGTCTGTCTGTCTTTGCTGGAAACAAAATGACATGGATTTTGTATGTGAATTGATCAAAACACAAGGATGAATCCCTTTATTTAGTTTCAAGGTGGGTGCTAATTATATGGACCACCAGCTCATGTTTTTTTCAATCATTATTTATTATTATCATCATCATCATCATCAATAACAAAATGTTTATTATTATTGTCTGATTTTTTTTTCCCTCTCCATCTCAGTCTATTTTCCCCTCTCAAAGAATCTGGATTTTTTTTGTATTGCAATTCCCCCCCCCCCCCACCTCTCTCCCCTCCCTCCTTATATTGTCATTCTATTCCAATCTTTCCCCAATTGCTACTGTACTTTTAATGTCATTGCACTCTTAGTGCAGTTTGTCAGGGGTCAAAACTGATGTGTCAGACTTGGTCATTTGTGCTGACTAGTTGTGCAACCTCGTTAAGAATTGGTTAAGTGGCTTTTTTGGCACTTTGTGTGTGAAATGTCTGGGATCCTTACTATAACTTGTTCGCTTTTTGAACACGTACAAGGATTATATTTTATATATGGCAGAAGTCAGGCTATCCCAACACTAAGTGTGATCTGGGCTGTACACTTGAGTTTTCCTATTAAAACTATAACCAGCGAACAAGAGACGAATGGTGTTATTTCAATCCGGCAATGATGTTTTATTTCAAGCCATTGGGCATTGTATGTTTCCGAACTGACATGATGGGTAGAATAGATCTCAGGATTCTGTGTAGAGTATTTGCATAAAGGTGTGTATCTCTGGAATGATACTGGTTGTATCTTTTGATAGTGGCTCTCATATGTCACCCAGTGGGTAAATATTTTATTATTAAAAGGAAGAAAACAGTCTTTCGTTTACATGTGTATGTTTACACTCTTACCAACTGTTACTTACAATGTGTTAGCCAGTGTATTCCACCTTAGCAGGCTCCTGGGGACAAAAGGGTTAACGCAGTCTAATGGCAATAGACAGTCATTGTCTTGGCTTAATGTCCGAGATGTACTCCAGTCGCTTAATGGGGCGAAAGCTCTTTCAGTACAAATTAGACAGAGCCTTTCGCGTCAGGACGACGTCTCAAAGCTCTTCAGAATGTTGGCCGGGCACACGAACAAAAGAAGGAGGTGGAGGGAAAGATGACCCAAAAATGCGCTCAAAGAGGTAGGTCTTGACACTCTCGTCTAAGCAGGCTATATTTGAGCAAGTACTGTTCAAGCTTCAAGAGTCAACGTACAATAAATATAGGTTGGCTGTTTGGGAGAAAACTTTTATTGACTGAAAGACTACAAACTGGATCTCGTGATGATATTTTTACATCTTTTAAAAATAGACAGGAACTGTGTTTTGTTGCTGTTCAAGCATTCCGAGTCGCTGCCCTGCGTGAAGGGCGCTATATCAAAAGCAAATTGTTGTTGTTGTTGCTGTTGTTGCTCATGCTCGAAAGGAGTAAAAAAAACACACCCATTTGAAACTGATCTTGCGTTGGATTCACACACAGCGTGTTTGGAAATGTACTGGTGAAAATTAACGTGAGCTTGTCAGAAGACATTAGAGTCTTTCTTCTCTTCTCTCCCCCCCCCCACCCGTGACCTTCTTCAAGCTGAGTGTTACAGGTCAGTTGATAAATATCAAGAAAATGGAGGTTTGTGGTTGCCTTGATTGACCCTTGAGCCCTCCAAAGTTAATCACTCGGCTTCGGAGCACTTAACTCAGCATCTCGCATTGTAGGGTCAAGGCGGAAGGTGGGGGAGAAAAGTGCAGAGCCATGTATAGACTATAGCAATGTGGGTTAGGGTAGGTCAGTGCTGCCGACTGAATGAGTTGACATCGGCTATAAGGCTGTGCCAATTTGCCGGCTAATTTGGTACGGATCAAAAAGTGCTAATGTTGTCTTTTCTGGGTACCACTAGTCCAACTCGTCATATCCATGGACATCACTTTGGACCTCACCCACGTGGTTTACGCTTAACTAGTTACAAATTACTAATAATAAACCTTGCATTTGATATCGCGTCTTGTCACGTTGTCAAGACGTTCTCCTGTACGGGCAGACGGGACCTTGGTTTAGCGTCTCATCCAATGGACTTCGAAATCCAAAATCCTCAATCGCATGTAAAATCAGGCCATGGCCTCTTCCGAAACCCTTATCGTCATGCTGCTAAGTAATAATTATTAACATTTATTATTCATTAATAAAATTGATAATCCTTGCATTTGATATAACGGCTTTCCCATCGGTGGGACATCTCAAAGCGCTTCCCAGGGTTAACTGTAAAGCGCAGTGACTGTGTATTTTGCAGTCAACACATCTTTGCGAACAGCAGTGCCACCCAAACAGCTATGAAAGCGAGTGACCAATTATTATTATGTGGGGGGGATTGTTGGCCAGGACAAACTCCGTTCACTTTCTGAGTACAATGGCTGTAGGTCCATGTTTAGTACAGTTTGAATGTCTCTTTTAGGTGCACGTTTTAATTATTTTTTTAATGATCTAAAATTAGATTGAAAGACCACATTAGATGATCCTTTAACTAATCCCTTGTAGGAGGCACCTTACTGATTTGCATGTTAAGCACACACTTGTAAATTGATAATTATTATGAGCAGAAGAAACACATGGACATTAAGCAACCCAGACACCAGGAAACGTGGACTAGTGATTACATTTCAATTAACTGGTCTTTTTTTTGGGTGGTGGTGGTGGTGGGTTCAGCCACATGGTTCAATTAAATACAGCTAATAATTCATAACAATAATTGATAAATGGTTATATTTGCATTTGACAGCATTTTTTGTATTGGGGGGACATGTCAAGGCATTTTACAGGATTTTTCTTACCGTAAAGTGTAGTGACTGCGTATTCTGTTGTCGAATGTTCTTTGCAGTGCACTCCTCTTAATTTAATTTTCTGAATGTTTATACAGCATGCTCAATCTAGCAATGTATTAATAAGCGTATCTTCTAACATTAGGTCATGTAATGTCAATGAGGATTTCTGGGATGTTTTTCTGGGGGTGGGTGGGGGAGAGGTAAGTAGTACTATGTCCCAATTTGATCATCTCAGTAGTTCCAATGATTACAGTGTCCTCATTGTGTAGTTAGACATAATTCTGTTATTCCTTCGCGGGTGACATTTCAAATTACTATAATGTTCATTTGCATTTCCTGCATTAAAGTCTTTTTAAAAGCACACCAGATAATTTTTTTTCAATGAAATTGGCAGTTTTGCTAACTTTTTTTCACAAAAGAGCTCTCCTTCACTCAGTTGTCCAAGCATTGTTGTCTGCCGTGTACATTTCACGGTAAACTTACCCAGAAAGACCCAACTCCGTCTCTACCAGCTCTTTGTGTGTGATCTGTGAGACCACTTTTCCTCTGCACGCTTGACAATGTTGGCTGTGTTTGTGAGGTGGTCTTTCTGGTTGTATAATCAAAACAAATTCCATATCTGAAACCGATATAGTAATAATTCATTCTGATGTCTGGCTTTCCCATTAAACTGACATAATGATATTGATTGTTCTACATGAGAACATTTCTTATTTTCCTCAGTGGATAGAGCGGTGAAGAAATAAATAGCAGGAGGATTTTCTTATCTATTGCAAAGAATATATATTTTTTTAAACCACTGAGCACAGTATGGTTAATGCTAATCACAAATTGTTTCAAGCCACAACCCCAGGCTGTGATGGGGTCAAAAGCGGTTTTAGATTTTACATGGATTTCCATTCTAATTCTTGGTTTGAGATGTCTCAAAGACGTGATAAGGATTATTATTTTTATTATTATAATTCTTGGTCACTCTTAACGCATAAGGCAATATTTCTGTTCATTCCACCCTGTTTCACTCGGACCAAAACTTTTCATTCTGACCAACGTGTGCCAATCTTTTCTCTTTGTTCGAGCTTTTGGGTTCAATCTATTGACCTACTTCATATTAAAAAAAAGGAAGAAAAAAAAACTGACATTCATTATTTATGACCGAATAATAAAGTTCTGATTTTTTTTCTCTCCCCCTTCTGGCTGCTTCATTTCACCCACAAAATACACAATCACTGCACTTTGCAGTATATCCTGTGAAGCATTTTGGAACATCTCAACAACGTGATAAGGTGTTAGATCAAATTCAATATTTAATCAAACAGTTGATGGGTTGAAATCCCAAAAGCAAGACAACAGACTTCCGAGTCAGGGTCTCTAGCTGTGTAAGGCCAGTATTGTATCTGAACTGTTTCCACATCATCAACTATTTCAATCTATTAAAAGGGCAGAGTGGGAGGCTAACCAGTCCCCTTGTCCCTGCTTGTGATTAAAACTGTCATCGATAAATAGGGCCAAGAGACCAGAGATGTCTGAGGCTTTTCAGATGTCTCTTAAATGTGATATTAGCCTGGTCCCTGTGGATTTCCATACGGCAGCGTTTCAAATGCTGTAGTCTCTGGGACAACAACAACAAGGCTGTTTTGAAGTTAATGTCTTTGTCTGTTTCATGTTTACTGCTGATCTTGTCATATGTGGAGTCCTGTAATCTCACAAGTTAGAGGACCTGGGTTTGATACCCAGGCAGGGCGAAACATTGGGCAAGTTTCCTTATTCCGCCTGCCTCTGATTATCTAGCAGCAAGTAGGAACCTGGTTGTTAGTCGATTGGAGGATCGCTTTTCCGGGGGTAATAATCCCTTCAAAAAATAAAACTGAATGATTTTGTGACACAATTCACAACTGTTTGTGGGACGCTGCTGTGTGCAATTGGCTGCCTCATTTCGCCTACAAAATACAGTCAATCCACTTTACAATATATTCTGTGAAGCTCTTTGAGACATCTTAATGACACAATAAGGCGCTATATCAAATGTAAGGATTATTATTAACTACCACATTGCTCACATTGTCGAAGTTTCTG